CTACAATGTCACATTCTGTATTGGGGATATACTCATTTTCATTTGGTGTGTCGGGTTCTAGGTATACTTCAATTACCCTGATATTTGGAACCACTCCAATATCGCTAATACAACCCTTTTGTGAGATCCATATGTGGAACTTTATATTGATAACCAATAACCCCTGTACACCCTAGTTCCTTTGCCATGTCACTTATCTTAGGGATGGAGATTAGGTCATGGTCAAACCAATCAACATGCCTAATATACCCACCCTTATATACCATCTGAGACATGCACTCAAATTTTTCACTATAATACAACTTTATGGTGAATAACGTTGAGTTCACACCTGTGAAAAAAATTAGAAAACATCTTCATTCCTACCCAATATGTCGTATACCATAAACAATAATAAAAAAAAAACACAAGACAATGCTTTGTCTCCCGCTCAGATTAAGGAACATGGTAAAAGAATAATGACTTAAAATCAAAACAAGAGCTTGTAGAATATTAAACTAGTTCAAAACAAAACCCAACATCTTCTACACTTTTCAAATCTAATAACTGTATAAACAACCCCTACTTTTAGCACTTTCACAAGTACAAATAAATTAAAAATTTCCCACTTACTATACACTTGATCCGGATTAAAAGCAACATCCATTGGTCAGATTAACCAAGGCATGTCTGATTGATGAACACAAGCGATCTTCTGCAAACTTTAACTTGTTCTTCTCAATCTTCTTTGGAATGAATTTCTGCATAGGGATCCACAATGAATTTGTGGCAATGGGTACAAAACAAATTTGGGGGATGAACCCTAATTAACTCTACGAACTAGCATGCTTGAGGAGGGAAATGGGAAAACGTTTGGCAACAAAACCTAGCTCCATTGAGTATAATATCCATTATGCCCTTAACTCCTCATAGTTTTCTTGTTCCCGTTAGCTTTAACTTCTGAAATAGATAGAATGGGTTGATTAACACAGATGTAAAAGTATAAGGGCTAAAATGGTATAATTGAATGTTCAGGGACCAATTTAAAACAGATACTAAAGTTCGAGGGGCATTTGGGTTGTTTACCCTAAAAAAAAATTAATTATTCTTTAATTGCAATCGAATTTTCTTTGTGATATCATTATTGTAAAACCCTAATCTTTAAACAATAAAACTTACAACTAGGAAACGATATAATTAAGCTTATTTTCTCAAGAGGATTTCATTGGTTTGATTAGATTTAAGTTTTCATGTTGTGTATACTCGAATTTGTGTTTAAACCTTAAAAATGATATTTGAATTTTCAAATGGGTAACATAGANATTTAAGTTTTCATGTTGTGTATACTCGAATTTGTGTTTAAACCTTAAAAATGATATTTGAATTTTCAAATGGGTAACATAGAAAATCATTCTTTCTTCCTCAAGTGACGTTTGAGTTATGCTATGAGGTTATAGTATAGTGTATTAGAGCGTTTGGAAGTCATGACTGAGGTGTGTAGTGAAGAAATTCACTAGGGTTGGAAACTTGAAAATCAAAATTTTAAAAAACTTGTTAAAATTTCAAAAGGGGATTTTGGTATTGTTAATTTGGGGGTCAAATAGTTCAAAAATGACCTTAAATTTAAGAAAACAAGTCGTTTGATGGATCAAAAATTTAATTTTTTCAATTTGCAGGTTTAACATATGCAATTACCATGCCGTTGAAATAAACGAATTCAATTAGATTTACAGTTTGTTTACAAGTTGAAAGGGGTTAAGTGAAATGTATAAAAGTAGAGAGGGGATTAAGGCTTAGAGGGGTTTTTTGTTTTTTATCCCTAAAAAATAAAGGACGACAAAATATTCTTATTTGTTATTTTTTCCTATAAACTCGTATTCTTTCTTGTTATCCTAATAAGGGGTTTTTTTTTTTTTTCATATGCTCTACTACTTTTTTCCTCTCCAAAATCGTCTTGTTTTTGTATATTTTATTACGATTTCTATTTTCCTGAATCATGTGACATGGATAGCCACGTGACAAAAAAGTGATTTGTCTTCGTTTGTTTTAACTGATGAAATGGTTGAAATTTTTTTACTAACACAAAATTAATAATTGAATGACTAAATTAATATAATTAAAAATTTAAAAACTNGTCTTCGTTTGTTTTAACTGATGAAATGGTTGAAATTTTTTTACTAACACAAAATTAATAATTGAATGACTAAATTAATATAATTAAAAATTTAAAAACTATTTTAAAACAAGAGGCAAAATTTAACGACTAATTATAATATTTACCATACACTTAAGTAAAGAGCTAAAACTTTCTTTGGACTTTTTTTATTCAATTTAGACGAACATCAAATTGAGTAAGGACTAAAATATCTCTGACTCGTTTTGGTATTTGTTTTTCTTATTTTGTCACTTTAATTTTTAAAAGTTCCTAGTTTTATTTTCTGAATCCTACCTCATTTTGATCAACAAATAAGAATATGACACATGTTAATTTTTTTTTATTACTTTCATGGTTATGTATTAAAATTGAAATAATTGAAAATTAATAATTACGAATCAATTTTTTATATGAATATTACTTTGCACATCACCTCATGTAATACAATCACAACCATCGAATATTTAATAAATTTTGTGAAACTTATTAATTTAATAGTGTATGTTTAAAATAATGCATAAAAATAATATAAGAAAGTGGTGTGTGTTGTGTTGTTTGTCTGGCTAAAAACTTTAATGACTCACATGGTCATATGCGTGAGTGTACACTGCACGGATAAATTGCACTATTAATCAAATTGAATTATTTGACCTTGATTCGGGTTTGGTTCGTTTTTTAAACGAGTCTGAACTTAAACAAGTTTTTAGGCTCAATTAAAAAATAAGTCCTACAAGTTCGACTCACACTCGACAGACTCAACTCTTTATGGGTAAATATTCGGATTCGACTTGGACTCAACTTGTTTGGGGCTCATTTGGACTCGACTTATTTCTTAAACGAGTTAAATTTAAATAAATTTTAAGATTTAATTAAGAAACAAATTTTTCAAACTCAGTTCGAACGCGTTCAATTGACGGCCCTACCCATTATGAAATTTATTCTGATTTCTGAGATGCCTGCATATGCCACACTCTAGTCCCACCAAACTATCAAAAACAATTCAATAATTCACACACAGCCCGGCCCAATCACAAAGTCATTAAATTCTGGATTATAGGTCCCACTTTAAAGAAGATCTCGTATTTTTTAATTGTATAATAATAGCTCAAATAAAAAATTTGAATCCATAAAAAATAGATCCACAAAAACTTTAAATTTAAGCCCAAACAAAAAAATTCAACTTAAGTGGATTATATTTATTAATTCAGCCCATAAAATAAAAGGTCCTAAAATTTAGTTTTTTGAAAATAAAAAAAAAAAAATTAGCAACAAAACTAAAACTACTAAAAATGTCTTTTAAGTCTTAACCCCCCAAAAAAGTCAAATTAAAACTTATCAACAGCTTGAATATAAAAATTTAATTAATATTTTTGTATTTCAAAAAAAAAAATAAGCTTTAAATAAATTTATTATTAATATTAAAAATAAAAATAAAAATAAAAATTTATTTATTATTTTTGCTTTAGACCCCAAAATATCCTAACCGCCCCATTTCAACTGACTTGTACATGTAAACGAATATCATGGAAATTAATTTGTACAGTTGGGCAGTGGCCAAGAACTTTCATTTTTTATGCTTACTAGAAAATGGTCCGACGTCATGGCTTCTGCAACTGGGCCACCTCTCCACAGCAGATGCACCATAAAATCCATCAACTTAATTGGGCCACTGCAGTACATCTTCTACCTCTCGATGACCAATAATAGGTCCTGCAAGATTGAACAAGGAAAATGGTGATGCTAGGACGATTCTATGTGTGTATCCATAGCCGGGGCGGTTCGAGATATTTTGGGGCCTAAAGCGAGAAATGTGATTTATTTATATTAGTAAATGAGATAGAAAGAAACAAAAAGGTCATATTGAATCAATGTTACAAACTAAACGACAAAATTGAAAAAAAAAATTATCTGAATACAAAAATTCCACGATAGATCGTGGAAATCATTTGAAAACATAGTCAGGCATGGACCACACCAGCTACAAGGTATAATTGGTGTTGTGTACATCATATTTGCTTAATGCTTGACCATATCAATCCAATCTTGCCCTCCAAATTGAATAGGCGTGGCCTTAATGGAACAGTCGTTATCTTTACTAAGTGCTATTCCAAAATGATTCAATTATGCCCTTCACTTTCAACCGAATATACTTCCGACTCCTTGATTCCGACCTTTAAATCCCAAAACATTATGCTCCCCGAGACCTTAAACTGTATGGATGATAAACAATGTCATCGACCATTAAGGTGAGACCTCATTTGAGGCCACAAATAAATCGGGTTGTTCATAAATAGCTTGGGATTGGCTTGTATAAATGCTCACTTGTCACATAAATAGAGCTTCAGCTCAATTTTAGAGCAAATAAAAAATAAGCCGAGTTCAAACAATGACTTGTTCGATTCATTTGGCCCGTGTACATATATCATATATNTGTCACATAAATAGAGCTTCAGCTCAATTTTAGAGCAAATAAAAAATAAGCCGAGTTCAAACAATGACTTGTTCGATTCATTTGGCCCGTGTACATATATCATATATTTTACTCTTGAAGGTGAGTTAGAATTCGAATTTAAGCTTAATTAAATAGGCCAAGCTCAAACTTAATTATGAACAACTAAACTCATGAGTGGAACTCAAACAGTCTGATGCTCGGTTCGGATCATTTGCCATTGGTATGATCAATCATCTCATTAGTCTTTTAGTTGCCAATTCAACATCCACAGTGGCAACCATCTCACAAGTGTTCGGCTGGGACCTCTAGTCCTCATCAACACAATAAAACAATTTGAAAATGAGATTAATATATGTATGTATGTATGTATGGTGTGTTGTCTTATACCTACTTGAATCTTGCAATGCCTCCTGTCTTGGCTTGCTCTTGGGATGCTCTCTACTTAAAATAATTCTTTCTCCAAAACAACTCCTCAATATCATCTTCTTCTCAATATAAGGATACACAGCTCAAGTGGTTCAGCAACAGAAGAAGATGTTGAATTTACCCAAGGAAGAGCTTCTCTTCTTTGTTAGGAACCACTATGATATCATCTTGGCTGCAGTGCTTTCTATAGGAGTAACGTTTTTCCTCTCCAAGCTATTGAGAAGAGGCTCAGATAGGACGGATGGCATTCCTGGCCGGCTCGGACTCCCTGTCGTTGGTGAAACTTTCTCATTTCTGGCAGCAAACAACAGTACTAAAGGGTGCTACGATTTTGTCAAACTCCGACGACTATGGTATGCATTCATGTTCCATATGTATCAATCTAAGTTTTAGAAAAGTAGATACAACGTTAATATTCCTCATATCACTCGCCAAAATGTCGTTCTTTCTCCAATTAATACGTAGCAACATTAGGTTGACATAATAAAGCTTGACTCAACATACCATGTGAAGATTTTTTCTACTGTACAATACAATTATTTTTGATACTGCACCGAAAACTACAACCAAACTAGGATTTACTACGGCAGATTAGAATTGATCACTAAAAGTTGGGATCCATCCCAACATTTCTGAACCATATTGTGTCAAAACTTTAACCTGCTTAAATCGTAACCCGACATCATAGAAATTTACCATCGAATAAAAGAATATTCAATGTATCAATTTATGTCCACCATATAGCACAAGCAAAACGGTTAAGATGATAGAGGTATAACATATATATATCCCAAAATAAATTCATATGTGCAGGTCTGAGAATTCTAGGCACCATAGAATACATTTGTTTGCCATCACAAACCAACAAATCATGCAGACTGATTCTGATGCATATGTTGAATTAGGTATGGAAAGTGGTTCAAAACAAGGTTATTCGGAAAGCTCCATGTCTATGTTCCAACTGTTGAAGGTGCAAAAACAATACTAACAAATGACTTTAGACTATTCAACAAGGGATACGTGAAATCAATGGCAGATGCTGTGGGAAAGAAGAGCTTGCTCTGTGCACCTCAAGAGAGTCACAAAAGGATAAGGCGTCTTCTCTCTGACCCTTTCTCTATGGGTTCTTTGTCCAATTTTGTTCAGAAATTCGACAACATGCTGTCTGAAAGGCTGAAAAAATTAGAAGAAGATGGGAAAAGATTTGTGTTGCTTGAATTTAATATGAAGGTAATTAACTACCCAATTTGTACGCCTGCATTATTTTTCTTTTACTTTCTTGCTTTATTAATTTTTTTTTTATTTACGTCATTATCATGACTGGCCTGTTTGTCCTTTTGGTAAATGTTTGTGGTAGGATGTGTTACTTTTTTTTAATATTTTTTATTTACATCATTATCAAGAGCGCCCCGTTTTGTCCTTTGGGTAAATGTTTGTGTGTCAAACAATTGATACAGAAAATAATCCAAATACCACACATGTTGATTAATGTGGGTTTACGCAACCACCGGTGTGAATTTATGCCTTGCCTCCTTGTTCAACCACTATACCAACCTGTGAGAGTTGTCTTTTAAGAACTGATCCTGGAATTGTTTATTGCATGTATCTCTGATAATGCGTTTGATAGAACTTGNTCCCGTTTTGTCCTTTGGGTAAATGTTTGTGTGTCAAACAATTGATACAGAAAATAATCCAAATACCACACATGTTGATTAATGTGGGTTTACGCAACCACCGGTGTGAATTTATGCCTTGCCTCCTTGTTCAACCACTATACCAACCTGTGAGAGTTGTCTTTTAAGAACTGATCCTGGAATTGTTTATTGCATGTATCTCTGATAATGCGTTTGATAGAACTTGCTGCCTTTTCATGGATTGAACCTTTCTCCCCTCCCGCCCCGGCAAAAAAAAAAAAGTAAAAACTGAAACCGAGTCTTCCTAGACGGAGGTATAATGACTTAAATCCGTTAAAAAAATTTATTTGATNACACATGTTGATTAATGTGGGTTTACGCAACCACCGGTGTGAATTTATGCCTTGCCCCCTTGTTCAACCACTATACCAACCTGTGAGAGTTGTCTTTTAAGAACTGATCCTCGAATTGTTTATTGCATGTATCTCTGATAAAGCGTTTGATAGAACTTGCTGCCTTTTCATGGATTGAACCTTTCTCCCCTCCCGCTCCCGGCAAAAAAATAAAGTAAAAACCGAAACTGAGTCTTCCTAGATGGAGGTATAATGACTTAAATCTGTTAAAAAAATTTATTTGGTGATAAGTCTATTTTTTATTTTACTAATAAGTATTAAGTCCACAATTTTTTAAAATTTTAAAAATACACTTAATAGTATTATTTTATTCAATTATAGAAATCTTAAAAACTTTGAAAGTAACTTTAAATTAATTTCTTAAATCAGAAATTATTATCCCTTAATTCACTTCTAAATTAAAATACAAATGTGTACTCTCTCTCGTGAGAAGAAGATCATCACTCAAGTACAACAAATATTTCTCTTTAGATATCATTTCTTTCATCATAACATAAAAATTAGTAGGGTTTGAAACATCAACAACTAACATATTTTCTACTATATTCTGGTCATTATGAACTTCTATGTCGTTGGTTTTCAAAAAAAAATGTTGAAAAACTTGCTCAATGTGTCATTAGTTTGATCCTTAATTTATTTTTATTTTTTTTGATAAATAATCACTAAAATTTTTCAATGTTTTATGTTATTACGTTTTTTGTTGACCATGTTACTATTTTTTATTAAGTATGTTATTACTTTTTCAGTATTACTTTTTTGGATACTGAAGAATTGGAGGCTTCTNTGTTACTATTTTTTATTAAGTATGTTATTACTTTTTCAGTATTACTTTTTTGGATATTGAAGAATTGGAGGTTTTTNCGTTTTTTGTTGACCATGTTACTATTTTTTATTAAGTATGTTATTACTTTTTCAGTATTACTTTTTTGGATACTGAAGAATTGGAGGCTTCTTCCTCTGGCTATGAGTTTGAATGTTACTATTTTTATTTTTATTTTCAATTTTGTTCAATGTTCTATATTGTTATTTTTTTTTTGAGCATATTACTGTTTTTGTTAAACATGTTACTATTTTTGTTGAACATGTTACTATTGTTATTTTTTTAAATATTAATATTGAATGTTACTATATTTTTGTATTTAAATGATATTATTTTTTGTGTTTAAATAATATATATATATATATATATATATATATATTTTATATTAGAATGTTACTATTTTTTTTTAATGTTTATATATATATATGAGATATATAGTTTTAAACTATGCATGTATAAGAGAGAAATTTTTTTAATATTAGTCAAACTCTTAAAATTTAAGAATTTTTAATTTTTAATTTTACTTCAATTCTAAAACGAAGGTATAGTCTGAAAAAATTGACAAAAAATAGACTTTATAATAAATAAATTTTTTTGGACTTAAGTCAAAACAAGTTCATTTAAGGGAACCGGCCTCTAAAATTTCCCAAAAAAAAAAAAAGAAAAGATAACCCCTATCCCCCATATATTCTTCATTTGCGTTTTTTTTGTCATTATCAAACCCCAAGTGTTTAAAAAGCTTGGGCTAGTGTTTTCATCCGATATTATGTTAACTCATCAAGACATGTCATTGTGACATGAAGGAACAAGATAACATGGTGACGAGTTCCCAATGACTTCCAGAATGGTCCAAGCACAAAATTTTTAATGAGAACTAGTCAGGTTGCTAACCTCGATGGAAATTTCTGGTGCAGATAGCCTTTGATGCAATGTGCGACATGCTGATGAGCATCACGGATGACTCGTTACTTAAACAACTTGAGAAAGACTGCACTGCTGTTTCTGATGCCATGCTATCCCTTCCTGTCATGATTCCCGGCACCAGATACTACAAAGGCATCAAGGTGAGCTTTGCAACAGCCTGAGGTGTACACTACAGTTGAAATACTCGAGTCCTTGAGAAGGCTGAAAAATGGTTCTCTTACAGTACAAAGATGAACTGAGAACTTCAGCTTACCTTCAAAGTTAGAAGAGAGAGAGAAAAGGACAGAATAGTTATAAAAGAAAGAAAGAAAGAAAGAAGAGAAAATGAGAGATTATATATAGCAAAAGAGTATTTTTAGACATCTAACCACAGTATGTTTTTCTTAAACCATATATCATATTCTTCTAATCAAAACAAGTTGAGCAGGCTCGTAATAGGCTCATGCAAACATTTGGAGGTATGATTGCCTGTCGACGGAGTGGAAAGGAATCTCCTGAAGACTTCCTGCAGTCCATGTTACAGAGAGATTCATACCCAGACAATGAAAAGCTTGATGATTGGGAGATCATGGACAATCTATTAACATTGATCATTGCCGGGCAGACTACAACTGCAGCTGCAATGATGTGGAGTGTCAAGTTCTTGGACGAAAACAGAGCAGTGCAAGACAGGCTCAGGGTGCGAATTTACACGTAATTTTTTGCTAATGCTCGTATAAAACCTGGAGCTCAGTCTCTTCCATGCCAATCACTGCCATTAGTAAATCCCTTTGATGTTTAACTTCCATAACTCTTTAGATTTTTATATTAGTAATGCTTTGGGAAAAGCAGGTAACACTATGCATTGATAAGTAAAACAATGTCAAAATTGAAATTTCCATGCTGCAATAACACTACGCAAATGAAAACACATCTTCCTCCTCCCCCTCCTCTTCTTCTTCTTCTTATTCTCTCTCTCTCTCTCTCTCTCTCCCCCCCCCCCCCCCAAAAAAAAAAAAAAAACACAGTTCTTTTTCATTTTACCTTTTTTATTTTTTGGAAGAGGATCTGGCGAAGAGAGTTCAATTGCATTTCAATTCTGAAGCACAATATATACTCTTGCAGTGATGACTTATTATATGATGCCACAGGAAGAACAATTGTCAATAGCTCGAAACAAGCCAGATGGAGCCTTACTTACTCTTCAAGATCTTAACCGCATGGCCTTTGGATCAAAGGTTTGGTAGACAAGCCCAACTCTTTCTGTGTCGATATAGATTTTGCAAGCTGATACTATGGTGTTCAAAGACCACTTCCATACATTTTTCAGGTAGTCAAAGAGACACTAAGAATGTCAAATGTCTTGCTGTGGTTTCCTCGTGTTGCACTCGATGACTGCACAATTGAAGGCAAGTTTAACATTAATTTCATAAACAATTAAGAACAAAAAAAGGAGGATTATGCCTTTGCTATTTGCTGTTTCATCCTAATAAAATCTCTTGAAGCTTCTTGGGGATTCCAAGAGAGAATCTGCAATTGTTCGCCAACAATTGTTTCCCTTAAAATTGTGTTCGCTACGTTTAGTGGATACATGTGCTTCATATAGTCCATTGTTATGGCAGGTTATGAAATAAAGAAAGGATGGCATGTTAACATTGACGCAACTTGCATACACAATGATCCAGCATTGTACAAGGACCCTCTGCAGTTCAACCCTTCAAGATTTGATGTAATTAATAATTTTCCTACTCTGCTTAGGACCTTTCTCATACTCACAATAGATTGGTAATAACTAGTAGACATTTCTTTTTCTATTTGGTGGAAAAACGAAATAATGGGTCAATGTTTCATGTCTCCAGGAGATGCCAAAGCCATATAGTTACATACCTTTTGGATCAGGACCCAGGACATGCTTGGGGAACAATATGGCAAAAGTGACAATGCTGGTGTTCTTACACAGACTCACTGGTGGATACAAGTGAGTCCACATCTTTTATGACGTTTTCATTCTACCTTGATTTTCAGTAATTAGCAACTCTTCTTTTACGCATAGGTGGACGGTTGATGATCTAGATCCAAGCCTAGAAAGGAAAGCACATATTCCCCGACTGAGAAGCGGATGTCCAATAACCTTGACGGCCTTAAAATATGGGAAAAATACAGAAACAAGTTGAGATCTTTTTTTCCATTTGATGTGTTAAAAGCCACTGCAAGCTTAGGGGGTTTCCTGAGTAATATGTGATTGAGTGTGGAAAAATGTTACATGTTGAATGCAGAAATAATTTGTTTCTAATGTGAACCGAAATATATGTTGGAAGCTCAAGGCGATAAACCATCTTTCAGTTTTTGTTCATTTTGACAAAACAATGTCAGGAAAGAACCTAAAAAGAACAACAATATCCCATGAAATTATGTACTATTGTGATGGTAATCTGGGTGAGCTATATATCGGAAGAAATTGATATTATCAGAGTAACTATGTAATCTAGCCTATTTCCTACAAGTGGCATTACATTATCTAACAAAAACTAATAATAGCAAATTTAGACAATGTAAAAGAAAGAAACATTAAGCTATTGGGTTAATCCGTCTACGCACTTATACTGTTCTTCTGCCACAGATCTACTCCCTTGTATCAAACAGAAGGTCAATGAACTACAGTTCCTGCAAACTCAATATGCAGGATTTTCTGCTGTCTAGTTTTCGGAGACCAAGAAAGAGATTTGCTACCACCCACTAAATAATGAGAAACATTATTTTTTGTGAGGGTAAACAAGTATATAAAGAATATAATATGAACATAATGAATAATGTGCCAAAGGGAATGCAGCCCATGAATTGAGAGGCAAAAGCAGTCGGTGAATGTACTGATGAGTAGACAGGGGAACTATCGAGACAGTATGCGCAATAAAAGGAAACTCTAAATCCTATGCCTGCCAATCGAGTGTCTACATAAAAATACAGGTCAAAGAAATATTTTACATTGGGATTGTTGTGTACACAAGTAACTACTACAAATATACACTAGTGAACTACCTAAATGTGTGCTTAGAAAATTAAGTATTTGAGGAGTGAAACCTTCCCAAATCCTTTTACTACTAATTTCATACTTTTTATATATAGCTAGATAAATGTATGCAAATAAAAAGGACTTGATCATAATTGCATAGCAATAACAAACATCTCTGGATAATGTAGCATCAAAGATTTCTCATTTCCCATAGCAATTGCATATGGCTTATGCACAGTTACTATGGGTTCTAAGTATGATTTTTGTATTTCCTTATATAGGTACCGAATACTAAGGTTTTAATATTTGTATTGTAAAGAGAATTTTTCTATGCAAAAGGTTGCAAGTACAATTACATAGAGATGTTTTTTTCTCCCCCCCAAAAAACTGATAGATTCCAACTCATGACCTCATATTTTCACCATTCCATTGAAACACATGGTCAAACTAACATAAATAAACTAATAATTTCCCTGCACAGCTTAAGGGATAATCATCAGCTCCAAAAACACAAATCAAGAAACTAATTACGTACTTTATGCGACAATCACTAATGAAGAATATAAAATTCAACGCAGACTTGTACCTTGGAGGAAGAAGTATTGGAAAAGGAGCTGAGACTGGACCTAACAGACTCCAAGAGGAATCTACTCTCCTCGAGTTTTGTATCAGCAGTTCCTATGCAAACAACTTGCAGAGAATTCTTCTCGTCATGATTTTCCATTCCTATGTTTGGTTAGCAGTTTCAAAAATTGATTAGTTTGAAATTTCACTGGTTTGTATAGAAATGCACAGTTCAGAATCTTCTATAGGATATTCTAAGAAATCTATTTCCTTCCAGCAGCATTACCTAACCTAACTAATAAGATCAACTTTAGACATTGTGAAAGAAAGAGAGATCAACATAACAAAAATTCATTCACCCGATAATCATTTTATTGATATTGTACACACCAAACAACTGATCACGGCTCCAACCAAAAAAAAAATTTGATCTCAGTATAGACTTTAGTTCCAGTTAAAACAGCTGGAACAAAGTTGAACAAAACCTGGAAAAATGGAATGTATGTCTATCCATGAACGGCATTTCATAGAAATTGATTTGTACTGTTCGACAGTAGCAGGAAAATTTGAGTTTCACTTCATAGAAATTGATTTGTACTGCTGAACAGTGGTTGTTATAGCTTGTTCAACTGGCAGCCTCTCCAAACTAGATGCACCATAAAACCCATGAACTCCCTTGGTTCTCTTTAGTACAAATTCTGCCTCTTTAGGACCAGATATAGGACCTGTAAATTTAACAAAGGAGAATAGGAAAGTTAGGTTATCACAAAAAGGAAAGATAAAGATGACTCAGCCATGATGGTTCAATCATTTGGAGTTATGTTACCAACAACTCGTCAACAAGGTATAATACTCTACAAAAAACACTAGTTACGAAGGAGAAGGAAAAGATTTTAATCTTGAATTGTTTATGAATTAGTGACATTATTTGATGACTAGGTATGCAACATGTTTCTTAGGGTGGAGACCTTAGGTTGTTGGTTTCTTTTCACTGGAAGCTAAAAATTTCGTGCTGTGTCCTGTTTTATATTGCATAATTCAAGATGAAGTTTATTAGAGATTGTTGTTTCTAGGTGATATGAGGTTGACTAATTAGAGAAGGTAGGTGTTGAAGTGAAGAAATGTTTCTGAAGTTGAATGTAGGACATGCAAAAGGAAAAAGGCAACTTTGCGAAAAGATAATGAGTCTTCACTGGATAAAGCACATGTTTAATGAGACGATCACAACATCAAGTGTCATACATAACTCAGACGAGGGCATTGTGATCGATGAGTAGAGCATCTAAGAGGCAAAGAACACAAAATAAAAAATTGAACAGCAGGCATTCTAAGCCAGGCAACAGCGTGGTGAAAATACTTGGTCATATGCAAGGATGAAACNAGTCATTCCAGATAAGTTCATCAAAAACTACAAAAAATTTAAAACAAGCATGCAAGTTAACTTACAGGTAACACTTCATTAGCCATGTCCAATACTACTGCATTTGCATCAGCAAAGGGCAACAAACCAGCTAAGGAACCCCTTCCTGCCATCCGAAAGCGCCCTGAGTTGTATAAGACAATCAGATCCACACCACCAGCTTCCTCAAACTTTGCAGATATGCCCGTCCCTGCACCAGCCCCTATAATGGGTTTCTCNTAATAAAATAACCAGAGTTTTGATAAAACTCACACCGATAATCTAACACTAATGCACCCCAATCTTCCAGTTTTCATTACTAAGAGCTTTAGTAATCATGAAATTGATTAATTCAGCTTATGTTCACCAGCTTGGGTGTCCCTAATTTTATTTTTCTGGGTTGGATAGGATAACTAGCTGCTGTTATTTACTTTTTCCTTACTCTTCCAAACAACACAAGCCAACTATTGGTTTCTCAATGGCTTCCCCTTCCACTTGAAAGGTTTTAAAACCTGAAGTTCAAACTCAACTTCACTCATCTTTGAACCAGAATAATATATTATCACTGAAAGTCATTCCAGATAAGTTCATCAAAAACTACAAAAAATTTAAAACAAGCATGCAAGTTAACTTACAGGTAACACTTCATTAGCCATGTCCAATACTACTGCATTTGCATCAGCAAAGGGCAACAAACCAGCTAAGGAACCCCTTCCTGCCATCCGAAAGCGCCCTGAGTTGTATAAGACAATCAGATCCACACCGCCAGCTTCCTCAAACTTTGCAGATATGCCCGTCCCTGCACCAGCCCCTATAATGGGTTTCTCCTCACTTATTTGATCCTTCAATTGCTGCAGTATCACTTGTGTTCTTTTTAAGGTTTCTGTTGCGAGAATGGTAAGTATGTTATGCTACAAGAAAATAGCAATACAAGTCCAACCTACAGCAGAAACATTTATTGAAGCATATGCCAGAGGTTTCCTATGCATGTGCTTTTGTCATGTGATTGAGGGGAGGGCCAGGGCCATAGTGGTTGGTTTTAGATGCCCAGTTACCCCTCATAACTGCGGCAATAAATTAAGGGAAATTTATCTGTTTACCTTTTGCAACGTTACACTTGACATGAGATGAGGAAGATTAAGACAGTTGAAACTTGAAACTAATTCAAGTGCAATATCACATATATNAGATGAGGAAGATTAAGACAGTTGAAACTTGAAACTAATTCAAGTGCAATATCACATATATGTTTTTTTATAAAGATGACAGCATATTTAAGAAATTCATAATTTCCGAACAAAACTTGCTGATGGAAGAAGTTAAAAAACAAGGAGGAAAAAGAAAGCCAACCTGGTTTCGCATCAGGGAAGTCACTCAGGATGTAAGAGATGGCCCCATTACCAGAGTTTATCCTGGAAGCAGAATTATCTTCTTGAAGAGCTTGATTGGGTTGACAAATAGCTTGATTATTACTGGTGTCTTCACAACTCTTAAAAATCTCTAAGAAAGAGTCGACCAATGCATTGGCGAACTCAGTGTCATTAATATGATAAGGATACACTTTAACCTATCATACACGTCAATTTCATGTCTATGAGGAAAATGGAGCAGGAGAATAGTTGAAATATTGGCCATGAAACTAAAGATTGCAAAAAAAGGTGGAAACTGTAAAAACATCCTAGTTCATGAGTAATCATGGTACCTGCCGATCTTCAGTGATCTCAATAAGCTTCTGTAGTTCATCTAAAAGACTACCAGTAGCCTCAGGATCATAAAAGGGCTTTCCTGGTGCATCCAAAGCAGAAACACCTTTTTCTGGCAGGCAAACATGAATCTTTGATGATGAGTTGTTCAATTTGTCTGCTATAAAGCCAGCAATTTTCCTGTTTTCGTCTACTGTAGTCCGCATCAGTGAAACCTGCAAATCACGAGCACTGGTTAATCAATGTAACAGCCACAATCCAGAGACCAAGTTGTCAGGGTGGCAGAATTTAAATACTGTGGTACAGTGGTATAAAATTAGTCCCCCCCCCCCTCAGGGCCCAAAAAAAAAACACCGAGTAATCCAGCAAAGATACGCACATCAGACCACTGTGGTTCTTGGTTAGATGATAAGATGACATGATTAATGAGATCCATCTTGTCAAGAAACTACTTTTAGAGTGAATTCAGATTCCTTTTTGTTCAAATAATCAAGAAAGAGATGCATACTGAACACTCTGGCCAGTGGTTTAGTAATTTATCACGTAAAATATGACAAATCAAACTATCATCTCATGAGGACATGACAATGGAGGCACTCTAAAAACATGAGATTGTACAGAAGTTGTATCATGCTAAGAGTCCATAATCAATATGGATATGTTCAAGGATTTAATAAGTCCGGGAAGAGCTATGCATAGGAAGAGACAAGCACATTCAGAAGTCCCAAACACCTGCTCATTGTGCTCATGAATCTTTCTTTGCTGAAATTTTGAAGGTATGGTAACTTTGGCACCAAAATTCACCATATCCAAGGCTCCCACACTCAGAACTAAAGGGATCTTCTTCTCTGTTATGGCATCAAAGCGGTTACCATCGCAGGCCATGACACCTCCAACTACGTGGTCTGCGACCTCTGTTGTAGTGATGTCCAAAACACCCTGAAAAAATAAAAAGAAACAAGGAGAGTATGAAGAATGAAGTATGAACCAAAGAAACCTTCCGGGGAAAAAACAGTATGAATCAAAGAAGGGCAGTCTATCATACTTCTAGTTTTTCAAAAAAAAACAGAGAGACAGAACAGCCATATGNCCAAAGAAACCTTCCGGGGAAAAAACAGTATGAATCAAAGAAGGGCAGTCTATCATTCTTCTAGTTTTTCAAAAAGAAACAGAGAGACAGAACAGCCATACGGTACAAAATGTGATATCTATTGAGGCAATGGACAAGTCAACCAAATATGTCGAGCTTAGATGATGTAGTTTTTTACCAGCTTCCCTATCTTAAATGGATTTCTGTTTGAGACACCCCTTAAACTGGTCCAAAATTCCTATAAAAAAAGAAGGGTCCAAAACCAAGTAAACTTGGTCAAGTTTCTGGTCAACTCATTGTGGTCAGGCAAATGGCTGGGGGATTTAATGTCTTAGCAAAGAAGATGCCTCTACTGATGACAATCTGTATGTCTCTCTGCTAATTGAAGACCTTCAAGCTCCACAAAATGAACAGAAAATGTATGTATTTCAAACTCCTACAGGTAATTTCAAAAATAAACTTACGTGGGATCTAGCAATCAAATAGCTGCATCTACAATACAGTAGTGGTTTCAATTTTACCAAAAAAATTCGAGTTTGATAATTTGATTAGCAAGATAAGTTGATCATGTTGATTTCCACTTAGCTTTCCTAGAATATAGTATTGTAAGGCAACCACAGGATACATCCTCAAGTATCAGCTTCCCAGTCAACTGCCAAATGCATGAAGGTCTACGACTTGCAATAAGACATGTAACTCAATCTAGCTGGTGATTGATGAATGCAAATAATGATAGAAGTACCTGTATAAAACCTTCTCTAACAAGGTCCTCCATAGCCCTGCCCCCTACTCCAGTGGCATGAAAAACCAGGGTCTCAAATCCTTCTTCAATCAACCTTTCTTTGATGGCATTTACACATGGAGTTGTAACCCCGAACATTGTTAGACCAACTGTACACTTTTCATTATCACGTGGAGACTCTTTAGATATCTCAACCCTTCCAATCACCATTCCAGAAAAAGCAGCACTGGCATTAGAAAACACAACCCTACTCACTTTGTTAATGCCACAAATATCAACCAGGGATGGAAACAATATCAAATCCGACGTCCCAACATAAGGTTCAGTTTGACCGCTGGCCACAGTCGATACAATGAGCTTGGGTATTCCAATTGGAAGAGACCTGAAAGCTGATGATAATAAAGACGTTCCTCCACTGCCTCCCAGCCCAATAACTCCAGCAAGAACACCATCAGCATGAGCTTTCTTTAGAAAATTTTCTAGTGCTTTATTCATTATTGTAACGGCTCTGCCTCTATCATCAGGAAGCTTGATGGAAAATTGGCCCCCAAACATTGAATAGCAAGAGAGGACATCTTTTCTTGGCACAAATTTGAAATCCCCACAGCTCTCAATCTCCTTCGGACCGGCTGAAACATCAATAACCGTCACTTGCACCTGTACATATCACGAGTAGGTTGTTTATTACTCTGTTTGGTTCCCATTACTGGAGGGCGCAAGAAGATATGGACAAGGCATACACATAATATTATATCTATATCTATACTTATACTATCCTATATTTTCACAATTAAATATCTAAATAAGATTTTAGCATTTTGTATCCCAAAAGATATTTCGATTCCCACTTTACAATTCAAAAGATTATTTTTTCACTTTATATCCTAAATGTCATAAATTAATTCTAATGTAGTCTTCAGACTAACATTCGTTTCAAATTTCGTTAAAAATTGGTATAACCCATGNTTCTAATGTAGTCTTCAGACTAACATTCGTTTCAAATTTCGTTAAAAATTGGTATACATGTCACCCACGAATAAGAATGGTAAATTTATATTTTTGTCCAATACCAACACTCACATGGTGAGTTTATATTTTTGTCTAAGAGCAACACATGTTGATGGCATATGCATTAAAATTTAACAGAATTTAAAACGTATGTTAGTCCAAGAGGTACATTGAAATCCGTTTATGACACTCAGGGTATAATGTGAAAAAAAATAATCTTTCGGGATACAAAGTGAGAATCAAGACATTTTTCGAGGTATAAAGTACAAAAAACTTATCTAAATTATCATCATATCCTTATATATTTAAATCTGCAAATTATCTATAATATCTTTTTTTAATTATCTATTGTCTATATATAAATACAGTTTCTATAACACTTTTTGATTAATTATGTTATCCTTAAAAAAATGCATCAATATATATTCAATAAAGTGTTCAAAAAACTTTCAAAAACTTCATCTATCTAATATTATTCATCATCTCATATGAAAATATAACATTATGCATATATTTTCTTTTTTATCAAAAAGTTTAACTTTTTATTTCTAAGATAAAAAAATAATTATACATATAGTCTTTTAAAATCAATTTTTGTTATATCAGTATAATTATTTAGTCACAATAAACTTTTTAAGTTGTCATAAAATTTTATTGAAAAATAGATATTGTAGTATATTTTTAAATAAAACTTGAATTTTTTAGAATTTTATTTGTTTGATAATATGTATTATAGATTAGTATATTAAATTTTGTCTCAATTGACCTAACTAATTTCTAATTAGAGTAAGATTTCAATGTGATTAGTATATTGACAATTATTTTTATTTTATTATAAGTGAAATCTTAATCAAATGAATTTTAAAAAATTTAATTTCTCAAACATCACTAAAAAAAAATCAATCTCAAATATAGGACTTTAACTATTTCTTTTTTTTATTTTTTTTATAGTTAGAACATAATTTTATAATAGAATATGAGTAATAAAAAATTAAATTTAATAAATTTAAGATGATATTTAATTCAAATATACATATATTTAATATATTTTATTAATTTTTGTATACAAAAACGTGCAACCACGAGGTGCGTTGCCAGTATATTATAAAAATTGATATTCAATTCAATCATAAGACGAGTAGCTGAACATTTTGCATATAGAATTGCATCAACAGACATCTTCGAAATATACAGGCATGAGTACATGTCGACAATGCTTGAGAAGATTAAAAAAAAAAATCTCAAATGCTGTGAAAAATTAACAGAAACTTGCTTTCGCATAAATCGAGGGCACTAATTTTGTAAAACGGATAGAACATGTGGTGAAACGAACTCAAATCTAATTAATAATTTCCCTGCGCAACTCAAGTTAATAATTAATCATCAGCTCAGAAAATAACCAAATAGGAAGGTAAATTAGGCAATTTATGTGAGAATCACAGAGGAAGAATATCAAATTCAATGCAGAAAAGATTTGCCTGGGAGGAAGAAGAATTGGAAAAGGAGCGGAGACGGGATCGAACGGACTCCGCAAGGAATCGGATCTCTTCGAGCTTTGTATCAGCCGTTCCTATGCAAAAAACTTGCAGAGAATTCTTCTTTTCTTCACTTCCCATCCTTTGTTTGGCTTGGAACAAGCTAGCTGTTCTTCTTCTTCTTCTTCTTCTTCTTCTTCTTGATCTTTGAGCTTGGAGATTTCAAATGAATTTGTAGATCCAGCGAATGGCACTAGTTCGGGGAAGTGGCGAAAACCACACTTGTTTGTAGGTGGGGAAGTTGACGTTCCACGCGAAATCTCTGTTCATGTTTTGAGAAGGATTAAAAAAAAAAGGGATAAACCACATAACCGGCCCCTAAACTTTAGTCTTTGTTTAAATTGCTCTCTCAACTTTTAATTTTTTTAATTTACCTCTGAACTATTTAATTCACTTTAATCAGTACCTTCAGTTAGATTTAGCTGTTAAGTGGGGATGAAACCCTAATGTGAATTGTAAATGCAAGCTGGTGGAGAGAATTTTTGATATTTTAGGTGTTATATACAGTGAACATCATCTTCTCTGATAGTCCATCACCTGAAATCGACATCGGCCACTAACCATCACTGACGAAGATTACTGCCAAGATTTTAAAAAAGTCACCATAAAATTTTGCAAAAAAAAAACTAAATCCATTGAAGAAATTCATGAGCCCAACATTATAAATCTATGAATCTAAATCCATGAAGAAATTCACTAAAGAAACTCATGGATTTGATGAATCCAAATTTATTGAAGAAATTCACTCTAAATAATAAAAGAACATTAACCCACAAAAAACTCTCAAACACCCAAGATTTCTCTCAAGATTCATCAACTACCTATTTAAAAAACAAAGACTCCTCTTCATCATGACGGGTATTCTCATTCACTCCACATTCTTCATCCTCCGACCATCTCTGTCCCAGCTAAGCCTTTCTGAACCCCATTCTTCAATACCAGATTTTTTCCAGTCATAAGTGATGAATCTGCATTGATGCAGATGAAGAGATGCATATAATCATTAGAGCTTAAGGGAAAATCGAGATAGAGTAAGCAAAAATCAATTGCTCGTTAGTAATGAGACAAGCATTCCGATGGTTCTCTCCAGTGGATAGTTTCGGTGTACACCGGCAAAAATGAGGATATACGATAGAGGTTCAGACATGAAAGAATGTTAGCATTTGGGTTTTATCCCAACATAAAATTTCAAAAATGCCCTCCACCAGCTGGCATTTTCAATTCACATTAGGGTTTTATCTCCACTTAACACCTAAATCTAACGAAAATTGTAAATTAAAATGAATTAAATAGTTCAGGGATAAATTAAAATTGCAGGGACAATGAAAAATAAAAATTAAAGTTTAGGAGTTATTTTTATAGTTTACCTAAACAATAAACTGACAATAAACAACGACAAAATACTCTATTTGTTATTTAAAATTTAAATAAAGATTCTAATTCATGGTACTACACTGGTGTTACTAGATTAGCACAACCCTTTTGATTGAAATGCTCGTGTTACTTTTTTTTTTTTTTTAAGGTTTGAGTTACTGTAATTTGTGGTCACAAAAACAAAACCCAATTAAAATTATATATATGATTTGATAATTTCAATTGGTTCGATATTGGTGCTTGAAAATAAAAAATGCGTTCCATATTTATTATTTTTTTATTCTTTTCATGTTCTTATATCATGTTATTATTCTTTGTTTGTTATTGAATAATAGGGGTGGGGGCAAGGGAGAGCGCTCAAAGACTACTCCAATAGGCCTTCATTGGTGGGATCATGAGGCTCTTGATCCCATTCATTGCATCTCTCAAGAACGAACCTAGTTAGGATAGCATAGCGATCAACCATCACGTCTCAATATGAACTTTAAAACTTAAACCTCTAACCTCATGATAAAAAATTCTACCAATACCCTACTGAACTACCCACTTAGTGGTGTAGGCGCCTTTGTTTGCTTTGTTCTTTTACGTTTCTAAAGAGAAGAATAAGTGTACGGGTATTTTAGACAAATGAGTGGAAAATGGACTTAAAATCAAATAGATTTTTCAGATGAACTTATTTTCAAGAAAATTTTAAAGAGTGGACAGACTTCTAAATGTTTTTTTTAAAAATGAACTAGTTATTGCATGTACTTGAAAGACATATAGTAATAAAAAATGGTAAACAATAAATATATTTGTATTTATATCTAAAATTAAATCACAAAAATAGAGAAGAAATAAAGGAATCTAAGTATCGGTTTGTAGTGGGGGTGAGAGATGGTGAGCGACAATGGTGGTGGTAGAAGACGGTGATGGTTGTGGTGGGTGACAATGACTATTGTGGTTGTGGCAGCGGTGATAGTGGTGGTGGTCGGGGCAGTGGTTGTGGCGATGGTAATGACGGTGGCAGTGGGGGCAATGGTGGTGGTGGTGGCGGCAGCAGCAGCGGCAGTGGCGGTGGTGGTGGAGGTGGTAGAGGTAATGGTGAAACGGTTTTAAATACTATTTTTAAAAAAAAAGTATTTATGAGAAATAATTTATAGAAGTACTTTTAAAAAGTCACTACAAACACACCCTTATGAGTCTATTTTTCCTATTAAATTTAAGGTGTTAATATTAGTCATTAAATTAACTTTGAAATAAAATTTAAAGCGATCTTAACCGCGAATAATAAAAAGTCATTTTGTTTATCTTTTAAAATTTGAATTCTAACCTACTTTATTATATAGATAGCATTTTGTTAGGTTTGAATATATTTCATAAATAATGCATTATCAAACTTTTGACGATCTCCTAACGACAAAATAACGATTGGAAGAATTTGTTGCAAGCAATCAAAGTGTTGGAGAGTAATGATAATATATAATTGAGGGATCCAGTTATTACTTGGAAACATTAGGGAAAGTGAATGCAACTTACCTAAGAAAAAAGTCTACCAACTCCCACCAAATGAAGATAGAATTTAAGTTTACCACCAAATAAAAAAAAATTAAGGATTAATTATACTTGAAGTCCCCAAAATATAAAGTTTGTCTCATTTGGTCTCTAATATTTTAATTACATTATTTTAGTTCCTAAATTGTTGAATATCTATATATAATAAAGTAGTTAGATGATTTGTCTTTAGCTTTTTGCAGCTTAGATCGATTGAGAATTATTGATCCGATAACCTTAATTAGACTTTTATTCTTTTTACAATTCTAAGATTTCTATCTCTCGTATAACTCTATTTTCTTTTATATCTTATACACCAAACTCTCATACGTATATAACTCTTTCTCAAATATTTTAAACGCACTCTCTGATCTCTCATATAATTCTCTCTCTATTTTATATCTCTTTTAGACACACGCTTTCCCATCTCTCACTCCCTCTCTCTCTCTCTCTCTCTCTCTCTCTTAATATTGTTTATTTTGACGATCCTAATTGAACTTCTTTACTCAAAAAAATTTGAAATCAAGCTAAACATCAATAAATAAATAAAAAATAAGTGATACCAATTGCACCAAAATAAAAAAAATTAGAACCAAAATAATCATTAATAAAAAAAATAAGTGATACCAATTGCATAAAAAAAACATAGTCAATCTAATCACAAATAAAAAAATAATAAAGTGATACCAATTGTACAAAAAAAACTAAAAAATTCAAAATCAAACTAATTACCAATAAAAAATAAGTGAAACCAATTGGAAAAAATAAATAAACAAATAAAACCAACTATAACATTTTTTTCCTTATTTGCATTATTTTCCCCTTGCTAATGTTCATATTTATTTGAATACTTGAATAGTGCAAAATAAATACCGAATTAAATCATTTTTTTTTTGAAGTGGTGAAATTTTGATTTTATTGATTTGATTTATATGCAGCGTGAGAGTATTTATGTATAATCCGAGAAGTCATAGCAGCAGAAAATTTAAATCAATTGTTGTCACAGCTATAAGCAGATCCGCTGGACAATGTTAGTTCGTTTGTGATTTTTTCTATTTTTTGAAAATTTGATTTGTAGTTTAATGTGCTTAATTCGTTTGATTGAATTTAGTGATTTAATTGTGTGTTCTTAATGATATTCCTTATTAAAATTAGACAATTTATTTATTAGATTTAGCTAGAGGTTGAAAAAATAAAACGTTTATTTGGTGGAAAGAAAAGCCGCCATGAAGAAATTGATGACATGATAATTTTGTAATGATATTTAAGTTTATGGGATTCTTGTATTGTATTAATGTGATATGATTTTTTTTTCTTTTTAACCCTTGAATCTCTTTTATTTAAGACATTCTTGAATCCCCGTTTGCTTGCCGTATTTTTTGTATTAAGAGTGCTTTCAGGCACGAGTAATGACTAGTATTTTTATATAGTCCCTCAAACAGACAACACTCAAATTACTAATGATTTTTTATCATAAATTTGTTACGTAATACCTAAATATGGACAAAAAATAATTTGGATAGCTCTTAAACAAATTTTGGATAGCTCTTGACAAAAAAAATGTGTAATACGGGTAGCATTTGACCAAAATTTGGATAATTTATAATTAAAATTGTGTAATTTGGATAGCTATTTAATCAAAATTTGAGTAAAAATTTGGTCAAGAGTTATTCCAAATTTTTTTTTGTTCATATTTATGTATTAAGTGACAAGTTTATGATAAAAAAAATCATTAGCAATCTTGACATTGTTTACTTGAGTGATCATATAAAAAGATTTTAAATATTGCGGACTAAAATGAGACAAACTTCATACTTTTAAAGACCTTCAATGTAATTAATCCAAAAATTAAGGGTGCGTTTGGTAATGTTTTCATTTTTATGTTTTTTTTATAAAAAAAAAACGAAGTTTTGTTTATTTTTTTATGATAAAAATTAAAAATAGAGTAATGCTATTGAGACTTAAAAACTTGACATAATTTGCTGACATAATGATGTGGCTTCATTGGAACCATTTTATTAATATCAAGTTTTAATGTTTGATGGAGTCCGCAGTCAATCCAAAGATCATAGTGAAACCACATCATTATGTCAAATTTTTAGGTCCCAATAGCACTACATACAGAGTATGTTTGGTAGTCATTTATATTTAAAAAATTGTAAAAACAAAAATTA